AGGGCGAGGTTTTTCCTAATTGATCCCAATGTCACATGCAGCCCGCACATAACGCAAGGGTTGTAAAGGGGTGGCAATTGTTTACTCACCCCCTCCCGCGGCTCCCGGCCCAGCCCACTCCAGCCCCAGCCCGCCCAGAAAAATTTATTTATGTGGCGTGCTCCTGCCAAGCGATGTCTCCTGGCTGCTGATAAGGAGAGGGGAGGACTCCGCGTCGGCGGGGGTGTTTTACAACGACCCCCAGACCAGCGGCGCGAAGCATGACAACGAGAGCACGCGCTTCGGCTGCTTCGGCCCGTGGTGGTCTGTGGTGTGGCGAGGTCTGCGAGGTCGGCGAGGTGCACGCGACCGAGGGAACTCCTCCGTCGTGAACGGCGGTGTGTGGCCGCGCGAGAGACGTATAGACGGCGCAGCCGGTCCACAAAACGGGAGCATACCATCAATCTCTCTCGCATGCAACCCGCGGAAAGAAGCGTGGAAAAAGAGCAAACAAGAAAACAAGAGGGGAGGGACGTGGGACATTTTTCTGGCACAAGGGTCTGTTTTTATTTTGCGGCCAAAACTGGCAAGGTTGCCCGCAAAAAAAATAAAAAAATGGCGCATTCACAACCGCGTGCGAAATTTCCTCGTTCGTAACCAGGCGATATGAAGGGACAGTGACGTGACTGAAATGGGGCCCTTTTCGAAACCACGCGGAGACCGGAGACCACGACTCTCTAAATGTCTACATCCAAGTGCGGGCACCCACAACGCGAGTGCTGTTTGGCTATACGCGGTGCGGTGGCGGGGGAAAAAATGATGCAATGCAACCCGCCCGCCTGGCCCGCGCGGCGCGTATTTTGAAAGGGATGACAAATGGAGACGCGCTGTTGCTGCGGAGTGCGCCACGCCACGTCTTAATAACGCTATTATATTCGCACCAAGAAAGGGACCAGGCGGGGGAGGCAGAAGAGCACGCCCTCCTGTACTGTGGTACTGTGCAAAGTAAGTAATTCAGTCGGATATCTCTCTCTATGTGTCTCTGTCTGTCCCCCTCTCTCTTGAGACAACACCTGGCCGTTTTTGTCCCGCATCGAACGCGTGCACACACTATACCCTGAACGACGACAGGTGTCAACGAGCACTTCACTCAACAACGCCCCCGCATTGATCCCCCCTCCTTCCCCGCCCCTCCCCTCGTAGACCGCCCCCTGCCCCAGTCCAGGGTGGCCCCGGCAAGGCCAGCTGATAATGAATTGTCGCTGAGTGACGAAGCATTGATACTATCATTAGTCGCAGGCCATGCCCCTGCCCCGCCACCTCCTCCCCTAACCCCCGTTCCGGGCCGCCCTCGGGGGCTGGTTGTCCGAATCATACCGAAATCCCAGTCCGTTCGCCCGGAGCGCGCTGCGCGGGGTGGCCGGCGCTGCGGTTGACGCGCGTGAAATTCGTTGCGCCATGACGTGTTGCTACAGCAGCGTGTGTCCCGGATTATTATTTGCTCGTCCGGAATGGCTCTACTGCCACCCCCTGCCCTTTTCCCCTGCACAAAGGTGCTGCTGTCATGCCGAGATCCACGTGTGGGAGAGACCAGGGGGGTGGGGGCCTGTGTTCTGTCGGCCGTGCGCCATGATACACCACCGTGCAATCACTCTGACATGCACGCAGTGCCGCGGCGCCTCCTCAAAGGGTGCCCTGCCCGACGACATCCCTGCCTACGACGACATCCCTACCTGCGCCAAGCCATGTCCTAGTTACGCCCCCCGAGGGCGCACTTCCGGTGGCGCTTGTCGGCCGGAAGAGAGACACGGTAGATAGGGGAAGGGGTGTCTCCGCCCCCGCACCACAGCCCCGCCTACTTGATCATATCGCATCGTGTATACACATACACATGTTTTTCGGTGCGGTGCGGTGCTCACCCCAGGAGAGAGCGGGAAAGGGGGGGGGGAGTGCCACAAGATACCTCCACGACGTCGCCGCACGTTGACGTGTTACGAACAAACTCCCCAGAAACCAAACGCGTGCCGGAAATAAAAATCCGGCACCGCCGTGCTTCGAGCTGCATCGTGTCACCCCGCAGCACACCCCTCCGCTGGTGGGGTGGGAACTCCGCGCAGCACCAGGCAGATAAGGCATCTACACGCGCTTTCACACTGGCGCAAACAATTAACGCGTAGGGGGTGGGAGGGAAGGGTTGGGAGGGTTCATAAATCTACGCAAAGTAGGCTGTCACTACGGCCGCGCTAGGTCATACCAGCCCTGACAAATTACTCCGCCTTTATACTTACGTATAGTGTATTTCGACTAACGGAGGAAGAAGAAGAGCGGGTAGAACATAAACGTTACCGATTGGTC